GACGAATACTACGAATTAAGAAAAGAAAATAAAATAAATAGTAACGAAAAAAAAAAAAAAAAGATAGATCCAACGAGAATCTCAACGTTCCGACGCCCCAACATCCGCCTAAGAGCCAGTCGATATCGCCATTAGCAATGGAGAGACAAAACGGATTTACGAATGGTGTGAAGGAGGAGTGCAAGATCGAGACATACATGGAGAGTAGAAGTTCGATTAGTATGACATGCCAAGGCTACTCGGAAGTCGACAAGGCGGTGTCTTTACACGCGGCCTTTCCCGAGCTCAGCCCCATCAGAATGAGCACTGCCGCCAACAAACGGAGCCCCGGATTATCCCCAATGATGTCCTGCGGTCAACAGAATAAATCCATGGGTTTCTCCTCGCCGAAACAAGGTAATAATAATAATAATAATAATAATAATAGCAAAATATTCCTGTTGACTTTAATTTTATTACATTTTTTTCTTATAATTTATTTTATATAGTTAAATTTAAAACCTAATTCTTTTTTTGAATATTGATAAGTAATTTTAGTATCGTCAGAAATTTTGAAATTTTTATTCGTGTTAAAAGAGCGAGTTTTAAAAATATTTAATTTATTGTTAAGTTATGAGTCATGTTACATTGACTCGTATCTATTTATGTTTTGACATCACCGTTAATACTTAACGATTGTTGTCTTTCGTGGTAAGAGATACATGTGCGTTAGTCTCTTTTGTACTGTGTGTGAGTTCTGCTATACACTTAATATATTTTCTTCGGTTCATTATGTTTTCTCTGAGAAATTTTCTGATTAATTTTTTTTTACTTTATTTTTTTCGTTTTGTAGTTTCAGGTACATCATTTAGTGATACTAGTATTCTAAACGGCTCATCAGTGGAAGTTGAGAGTCAAGTGATAAACACCTCATCAAGTAGCGAGAAATCCTTCATTCAACAGCGAGTGGAGCGTCTATACGGTCCAGGTGCTCTAGCACAGGGTTTCTTCTTCAAACGCAGCACTGCTAAGATAAACATCAGTGACAGTAGTTTCAATAAATCCAGTAATAACAATGACATTTCGACAGACAATGCGAACGCGGAGGAATCGTTGAAAAATCTACCTGTCTTGCGACATCTGCGCCCAGAGTTTCGAGCGCAGCTCCCTGTAGTCAGTAGTAGAAAGCCCACGGACGGTACAGAACAGGTCATAAAGCCACTACAAAGGTGAGGATTTATACCTTAGCTATAAATAAAATGGAAACTGTTTTATTTCATCTTGCTTCTTTGACGACAAAATATTTTTACTATTTTCAGGGTAACACCAGTGACGCGAAAAACCGAGCAGAAGAGCCCCCCGACTACAAATTCACAAAAAAGCGTAATGAGAAGAATTCCGATAATCGTAGAGGGTGACGTACCACAGCGCGATACTACTAGCAAAAGCATACCCGATCAGCAGCCAGCTGCGCCAAAAGTAGTATTACCTGTGTTAGAACCTAGCGCTAGCTCGACGAACATAGCGAAACAGATTCAAGAAGCGGAAAAGGTCGAAGAAAAAGATGGTCATTATTTTATGAAGGTAATTGAAGAACAGACGAATATATATTATTCGAAAGACATATTGTCAATGTTAAGAATTCATAGACGTGTTTTCTCACGTTTTCAGTTATTGAAACAAGAGACAGATAGACTGCTGTCATTGGCCGCGTCTGCAGAAGCCGAATTAGCCGGCGGCGATACTGTTGCACTGCCAGAAGAAGCAGCGGGTAAGCTGCGATCTGCCGCAGGAAAGGCCCGATTATTAACCTCGCAGAAAATGCAGCAGTTTGAAGGATTATGTCAAAAGAATATTGTAATTTCTTTACATTTCTATAATTATCTCTTTTTTTTTACTTGGAACATTAGATTATAATTAACGATTTATATCTTGATATTTTAGAATCAGGTGCCGGGCGAAGAATTTCCAACGACAAACGAGGATTTGGCTGGTTTTTGGGACATGGTGATGCTACAAGTTGTCCAAGTTAATGAACTTTTTGATCAAATAGAAAAACTGAGGAAATCGCAATGGCAGGAGGTATGTTTAAATATTATTATTGATTATTGACCGAATTTTGTATATTTTGTATACATTCATAATTAAATATATACGAGCTTTCTAATTTATGTTTCTTTTTTAAAAATGAAACTAATTCTATAATACTTCAATTTTTCACAATTACATCTTAAACACTTTTGTGTGCTCTTAGATCGTGCCAGACAAGAAAGCCGCGTCAGCTTCGCAACAGAACGGTAAACGCCGAGTCATATCAGTCCACAAAGCGAAGCCAACCGCGAACAGCGAGGCGAACAAAAAGGCGCGCGAGGCGAGAGAGCAGGCGCGACGACAAATGATTGAGGAACGGAGACGAGCGATGCGCTCCAACGCGCAAAATGCCGACAGTTCCGTCGAGATTTTTGCTCCTGAAACGTAACGATAAACCATTAAGTCGGAGCTTGAATGTGCGATATAATCGATCAGCATTGCGGCTCCTAAGGAATATTAGCGTGTATAGACCGTCAGCTCGAATGGGAGAAAGAGAAAGAGAAGACGAGCTTGTGCCCGAGAGCTTGGCTACGTAATCAGCTTCGACAAAAAAATCAAATTCGCTTGTTACAATTATTCACAGATATTATCCTTCGTGCGTACGCGCGCCAATCGCACGCAAATTATACGCGGCAAAGAACAGGAAAGTATTAAGCAGATAGATCGTGTAATATGTGTTGAACTTGCTGAAAATTTAATACTACTATAAGTAAGAAAGAGGATATACACACATGAGTTGACGAAGAGCAAGCATTTATGTTTCACTCTATCATTTTTTTTCATCGAGCTTCGATTATATATCACGGAGTATTCTAGCGCAATAACGCGATACTGCAACGATGTATCGTCTGTTGTCCATAGAGATATTTTATAAATGAAAAGTGAAATATTTACTGTAGCACTTTACCGAATTGATTTTCTACGTTACATGTCTCCGGACGGACATTATTAACTTATATTTATAATTATTATAAGTGATGGTTAGTCGTGTGGGGCAGTAAGTTAAAAACGACTGGCGACTGAAGAACGAACGTGGTCCCGCAAGAATTCTCCCTAATAGAAATCAGTCGCACTTTCAAAGTCAAAAAATGTGTCTAGGTTAAGGATAAAGAAAATGATGAGAATTTGTAACATATATAATGATTTGATACATATATATAACAATTTCTGACGCAAATGCATTATTTACTAATTTACTTGGAATAGATTTCGTTTCGGTGTATTCGCTATTTTCCTTAACCTAGACAGACAGTTTATTACGTAGTTTATATATGTAAATAGAATTAATGAATATTCACATTTGCACAAGGCCGATTTCACGCCGAGTGTTCGCCTAATAGCTTTTTCTATCAAACGTCGATAAAGTTTCTTCGTTGAGAGGTGTTGTCAACAGCAGATAGGAGTAAAAAGATTCCTATTATTCTTATTATATATTGCGCGTCTCACACGGCGATAAATATTATTTTATTAATTATCGTTTTAATTATGATCATGTGCAGTTACATCCCCTGTCTCCCGCGTGAAACGTGGACATATAAATTAATCCCGCTCTCTTCAACAATGCTCTCAGCGATGTGATGTCTCCAGGTTTCGCGCGCGAGACTTAGCGCGCCAGGGGCACTCGATGGCTCACATACTTTTTGACTACTCGTAAGGTGATCGTATTTGATAAATCGTTGATTGCACATAACTCGAAATATTTATCGGAGAAAAGGAGAGGGATACATCGGATGCGAATGTGTGACAGCTGAGTTGGTATTGTCTTCATTATCGCGATGGATCTCCGCGACGAGAATCCGACTGTGATTGACGTACGCGTCATCCGCTGTCGCATCCGTCGAATTTGACATTCCTGCGACAAGAGTATCTCTCATTACACGTCACACTTTTTTTTCGCGTAGTTGTACGATAGAGTGTTACTCCTCGGCGTCCAATCAATGGTCAGCGGTTCTAACAGCGAATCGTCAACCAAATAACACTCATACTTTAAGTAAATAATTACACACGCGTCGTTACACGCACACACACACACACACGCGCGCGCGCGCGCGCGCGCGCCAATTATAATCGCGAATTACATGTTATAATGTTACATCTTTTTATTATAATTGCCGATTACATCCGTCTTATTCGAAATTTTTGTACAAATTTATCCGAGTAATTTATTGTTGATTCCCTTGGTGCCTTCATTATTTATACATGTGTACATAAGTCGACTATGACAGCCGATAATCTCATGTACATGTATATCTATTTAAGTTATACATTCGCGACCGAATTTCATAAAATATCTGTTGATAAACGAGAATAAAATGAATAAATTCCATTATTTATCAATCAAGCGTGCTCCAAAACAGCAACAGTGTGAAAAGTCAATCAGACGAGCGAGTTACTTAAGAGAAAAAGGAAAAAAGACATCATGGTTAAATATATTCTCTCTCGTTGCGACAGTATATTCACCTTATTTACATCGAGTGAACAAAACTCGAATATCCACAATTCATTTTATATTTCTCTTTGATATATAGAAGTACATGTATAAGGTATAAAATAGGAATTTTCTCTGCGAACACCACAGGCGTTCGTATAAATTACGGTGAATATGGGAAGACGGTAAGTACAATGTGATACTTTATCTTCGTATGAATGTTTCGCGTATGACATTCGGTAAAATGTTCATTCCTCTCACGGGCCCGCGATTGATTATTCCGATCGTGCAACAATTTCACGACAAAACTTTTTTCTCCGTTTCTACCACGCGATGAACACAACGAGGTGAATATGCTTTCTGGTTCTGTTGGCCTTCTTCGAATATCCCATTTCGACGTTTTGCATCGTGGTTATAGCGAGACCCCTCGCTGATTTTATTTGCACGCTCAGGCTAAGCATATTAGGGTCTTTCCCTCGTTCATTTTGTCCTGGACCTTGTCGCTGGCCGTCGACTTCTCCGCCTGTCCGCTAAAGGCGGCGCAGACGAAGGTGAGAGCGACACCGATCGCCGCGCTATAAAACGCCCAACCTGGAAGAAACGATTCTTCTTTTTATATCCCGCGAAGAATCCCTGAGATCTAATTTAATTCGATCGCGGCTGATCTGATCTAATCTTATTATTTTGTATATCGGAAAGTCTACTATATGGCCTAACTATTCTCGGAACTGAAATCTTCATTTATACTTGGAAAAAAAATTGAACTCTTTTTAAAAAGAATTTAGAAAGCAACACAGACGGAGATGATAATAATACTGCTAAGAGACTCTATCTGCAGAAATAATCTTTTTTTATATCCTATGACTCTAATTTAATTAGGATCAAGATTAATCTAATTTAATTTTATTATCCTATAAACGGAAACTCTATCGCTTGAGCTAATTGTTTTTTTAAATCGTCATCGTAATTGTTTAGAAAAAATTGGATTCTACAAGAATTTTTAATGTTAAATATTTCAGTATTTAGTTTACCAAGACTGCAGTTAGCAAGATAGAAGGCGTCGGCTTCAGGACCGCAGATCCTTTGCACCCTTTCTGCGCCCCATCCGGCGGGATACAGGATCATCCCAAAGAGGTATAGTATTCCTATGGAAATAAACTAGAATGATGTACGCGAAACTAGAATGATGTACAAAGCACATGTTTTATACAGATGCGTTTTCCAATTATCTGATTTGTTGTTATTCGAACCGTGACAACGGCATCACTTTTTAAAACATTGCGTATGCTCGTTGATTATTCCGGGCACAACCTTTCGCTACAATGAAAGTTGCGCCATTCGCGCTCTCCGGAGATACCATTGTTAGGCTAAAAGCACGTTACGCACGCGGAATACCCAGCTGCGATCGAAGCGATCATTATCCTCGAAAATCCGCATCGCTAATCCGCTCTTGCTAACGTCGACCGTCATCGAGAGAAGGGCGAGCTTTGTGTATATCGGCGAAACACAATTTCTAAGAAAGAAACGTGCGTAGGAACTCAAATCTCTCTTTATATGTGTGTAATAAAAAGAGAAAGAGACCTCTTGTAACACATAAAAACATACATCGCCCATCATTTCGAGGATTATTTCGCCCGTGAGCTAAGGAGCTTAGTCGGGGTTGCATCGTCTCGTCATCTCGTCATCTCGATTCCCTCGCATCGAGGAGAGCAACATTTACCGGCAACGGCTTGCGCCACTCCCGCCAGATTGAAGATGCTCTTGCGGCCGATGCTCTGCACGCAGCATCCGAGTAGAGCGGCCACCACGGTCACCGACATCACCGCCAGGCCCGCAGACAGGAAGAACAGGGACGCCTTCCAGCATCCCGGGAAGACATTGGGGTCCGTCGCGAAGCCGTCGACGTTGAAATTCGCGCAGTGCGTCTTGCCGAATAATCTTGTGCAGCGATTGAAGATTCCGACGGTTGGCGTGTACAGTTCCGTGCCGTTCTCTAAAATTTTAGAAAACAAATCAACGATGGTGTCGATGATCCACTACAAATTTTTTTCGATGGCAAACGACAGATGTTGAACTGCCGTATGACAACGGTGGATTAGGGAGATACTCAACTCGATGATCGGCAATTACGTATGGCGAATGTCGTTTCGGTTAGAAAAAAAAAAAAAAGAATACTTACTCGTATCCTTAATCGTCGGTGGTCCCACGAGCCATCTGGGAGTGATGAGGCCCGACAAAACTGCCATCAACGCTGCCAGAGACAAGAGTGTCCACAGTAGACTACGTCCGGTGACTATCACGTAGCACATCCTGCCGACCGATCGATTCTATGTCATTCTTAGATCACCACCCGATTGTGTCTGAAAAAAAAAACAACGATATCGATCCGTCGTAAGTTTCATATCTACGGATGAACGTAACGGATGTTAATCGGCGATTAAGAGGCCGCAAGAGCTCTTCGGATTCCCGCGTAAGTAGAGAGTTCGGTGTTCCGGCGATTAGCGCGATTGCGCTCTTTTCTCGTCTCGACCGAGATTCGGAGACTCGGTTTTTAATGAGCGTGTTCGGAGAGCCGCGATGGAATAATCGCCTTTCACATGTATTTCGAGGAAAACGTTGCGCGCCGTTGTTTACTTGAGGTTTCACCTTCCTCGGGCGCGGGCATTAAAAGTGCGGCCGCGGTGCGGGCCGAAACACGTAGGGCACACAGATCTCGGGTTACGGCGCGGCGGCTAACAGTTTCGACTTTTTATTCTGATTCCACGGAAATCGTGAAAGGGCACGGGGGCAGAAATCCTCGCGCGCCGGTCACAAAAATCACTCGATCCTTGGATCTAGCTCACGGAACCCGGTGGAATCACGGACGAACGGACGTCGTCGTGAGACGTCTTGTTCGTGATCGACTGAGATCAGATTTTTGCGGTCGTTCCCGGAGATAGGAACGGTTTCGTCAATAGTAATTTTTTTTTCTTCGATCAGAGTAATAGCGGAATAAAATAATAAAACTTTATTTAACTAAATTTTTATCTCGGAAAAATGTTTTCGATTTTCCAACGTGAAAGGCAAAAGGAAATTCTTCATAATTTTACCGACTAAAGCAGTTAAATGTAATTCTAATCTAATCGGAGCGTGGGATGCTGAATATTTCCTCTTTCGTAACAAAAAATAATTTACGAAAAAAATTAATTCGAAACAATCATGCCTCGTCCATTTTAGCTTTTAATCGGAATAGCTCAGGTCTCTCTCTTTCCGGCCTGCTCATGGGCGGTGCCTTTTCGCCTTTTATGCCACACGTGCTGTTCAAGACCACTCTCTCTCTCTC